ATTCACTAGACATTCAGGTTTTCAAAGAGTTGTGTCTGGGTTCCTCGGGTTTGCTGAAGCAGAAAAATGGGGAAATAATGTTGTCACGGGAAATGGCGGCGGGGGAGGCAGGAGCCCTTCCTCCCCATGTGGTGGTGTCCCAAGTCCATTCGGGCTTTCCTTTATTTTTTTAAAGCCATTCCCTGCCAGAGCTGTGTGGCTGCAAGGAACCTGAGCTGGATTGAGGAAACCTGGATCCCACTCTTTAAAAACCTGCACATCTAGTTTGATGTTTAGAAGGATGCAAATCTGCTGAAGATGGCATTGTAAGAAAATTGGCAATTGAAAATCCAATAGATAACCTATGTTTTAAAGTTTAGAGGATTTTAGTGCATAGAATGTTGCATTTTATTGTAGATAAATACATATGGATAGGAAGTTTTTTTGTTTCTGAGGCTGAGAGCCAATTCGGTGTAGTGGTTAGGAGTGTGGACTGGGAGAAACGGGTTTGATTCCCCACTCCTCCACATGCTACTGCTGGTGTGCCCTTGGGTAAGTTACAAGCTCTTTCAGAGCTGTTCTCTCAGGAGCAGTTCTCGAAAGAGCTCTCTCAGTCCCACCTACCTCACAGGGTGTCTGTTGTGGGGAGGGGGAGGGAAAGGAGATTGTAAGACACTCTGAGACTCCTTTGGTTAGTGATGGGCAGGGTATAAATCCAATCTCCTCCTCCTCCTCCTCCTCCTCCTCCTCTTCTTCTCTGACTGCGTTTGATTGGGAAGTCTCATTTCTAGATTATAACTAATTTATAGATTATAAACTCCCTCTGATCTATCTTTCTTACTAAAATTAATTAAAATTACATTTATTTAACTCCAGAAGCTATCAAGTTTGCTCCCATTGCCTGACAATAACTTTTTTAAAAAGTCTTAATTTAGACAGAAAACCACATACCAATATGTTTATTACAGAACTTTACAGAAGGATATCTGGATGCTTGTAAGAAATCTATATGACAATTTAGGCAATACTGTGAGGGAAGAGTTGCTTGTTCCACCATGTGGAATGTCTTTTAGAAACTGGCACTAAGCACATGTTCCTATGCATGGTTGATATGTTGTTCAAACACAAAAATAGCTCTTTGCCATGGCGAGTGTGCATATAGTATAGAGTTACTGTGGTCCAGATAGATGGCTAGATTTGGTCTAGGGAGGTCTGGGTTAGAATTCCTGCAGTTGGGATTATCTTGGGTCACTCACTGTCACTAAGCTACCTCAAAGGGCTGATGTCTAGATAAACTGGAACTTCCTGCTTAATACGTTAGCTCCTTGGGCTCTCAGGCAGCTCACACCAACACTTGGGTATAACCAGATTGCCGTCACGTATTAATTAATTTGGTTTTAGGCTTTAATCAGAACTATATTGGATTGTTTTATTGTTTATTGGCTTATTGTTACCCACCATGAGCTCACTTGTGGGTGAGGGTGGGATATATACCCCATAAAATAAAATAAATAAAATAAAATGAGGCCATGGAGTGCCTTGAAGGAAGAGCAGTAGACACACAAAGTAAATTGGTGTCCAAAGCTTCTGCCATTGGTGTTTGCATTAATTCCACTAGGTGGAGCTATTCATATGGAAAACTCAAGTCTCTATGAGCGCAAGGTGTTCTTTTGAACGGAGCGGAGGGATAGTTGTCCTTCCACAATGTTCCGTGAAAGTTCCATTGCTTGATTTATTGACGTGGTTAACAATGTATCTGCTGCTTTACGGCAGTGTTCAGAGCAGCTAGCAAATGAAAGTATCCCCAAGCAACGCCAAACATTGAAGCAAACTTCAGGAAATCGTAACCACTGTCACAGCTAGGATTGCAAGAATGTAACTAGTAGTTTTCAATATGGTAAGAATGGCCCTGTCACCAGTCCGCCAGAGCAATCTTAATGTTAAAAAACTCTCTTATGAACAATAGCAGTGAAAAGTGTCATCAAGTTGCAGACAACTCATGGCAGCTCCTCATGGGGTTTTCATGACAAGAGATATTCAGAGGTGGTTTTGCCAGTTCCCTGCCTTTGCATCAAGGCCCTGGTCTCCCATCCAAATTCTGACCAAGGCCAACCCTGCTTAGCTTCCAAGATCTGACGAATCGGGATAGCCTGGGCCATCCAGGTCAGGGCCTAATGAAGACTAGCCTTGCTTCATTGCCAAGATCCAGGGGGAGGAGGAACCTTACGTGCCCCCTCCAACAGGTGGTGTGGGAGCTACCACAGAAAAGCCACGCACTTTAGGCAAGGAGGATCACACTTGCCAAATGAAGGCACCCTCTGCCAAAGAAAGGAGCAGCTGCTCTGAAGATCTCATTTGGTACAAATGGAGATGTGACAGCAAACCACAGCTTAAATGCACGTGAAGCTGACATACTGAATCAGACCGTTGGCCCATCAAGGTCAGGATTGGCCCCATCTGCATTTGCTATGTAAAGCTGTTCCGTGCTGCTGTGGCACTGGCTTCCCATTTGGCTCAGTATATAGCTCTCCTCTGTCTGCATCAGGACGCAAGTTGTTTAGGGAGAGCACACGAGAGTGGGGGTGGGCATGCTTCCAAACCCCCCCCCCCAAAAAAAATATGATCGCAGAAAAATGTTCCTTGGCTGCTTTGAAACACAGACGACTAGATTTTCAGCTAACTTGTTTCCTTTGTGACAATTTGCGTATCTCTTTAGAAAAGATGGGTGGGGGGGAGAATCCAGCTCCTGTTGCTTGCTTTTTGCTCACAGCAGCTTGAGGGTGGGGAGAAGAAATTGTAGCACGTTAAAACCAAATCCAGATAGAAGAAGAAGAAGAAGAGATTGGATTTATACCCCGCCCTTCACTTGGAGTCTCAGAGCGGCTTACAAACTCCTTTCCCTTCCCCTCCCCACAACAGACACCCTGTGAGGTGGGTGGGGCTAAGAGAACTGAGACACAAACTGCTCTTTCAGGAACAGCTGTGCCAGAGCTTGTGACTGACCCAAGGTCACATCAGCAGGTGCAAGTGGAGGAGTGGGGAATCAAACCCGGTTCTCCCAGATTAGAGTCCGCGCACTTAACCACTACACCAAACTGGCTCTTTAAGATGATGAGACACCGTAGTGACCTCGGAGTTACCACTAAATGGCAATAAAATGATGCAAACAGCTGATGCTGAGATGAAACAATAGGAGAGTGGATGCAGAATGAAATGCAGACAGAAATTTGTGAGACAATGGGAGATCGTTAGCACAACGGTGGGAAATACCAATGCAGATTGGACCATTGTCTACTCAGATGGGCAGCAGTTTTCCAGGGTCTCAGGAAGAGGCCTTTTGCATATCCTACTACCTGATTCTTGTTGGAAGAACCAGATGTGATGCCCCTGGGGCTCAGCCTCCAAGAAGCAAGTGACCAGAGAGTTGCCGCTAGATAGACACTAAGCATCTTCCTGTTTACTCTTCTGTCACTTGAACCCTTTGATGTGTACATTGCTACTCTTAAGGGAAACAACTTATTTCTGTCTCCTTGCTCTCTTCCCGCAAGAACACAAAGAAAGGGGACATGTCTCTCCACCTTTGGCGCCATGGATGCAGAATGCCTCTCTGCATCTGCATCCGTCACTAGCTAGATGGGAAAAAAACCTGTCACTATCTCTAAACTGCTCTATCTGGTATGCATTTCTTAAATAAAGGAGTTCTTTGTGGCTCTGTGTAACTGAAAAGTGGCTCTGTGTAACTTTGTAGTCTTACAAGCATACGCTGAACAAAGGAGCTCTGCTGCGTTCTGAGCCTTTAGTGCACTCTGCAAGATAAAGCAAGACTAACATACCAGCTCCCCCAATAATTCTTACTTGGGTTGCCGGGGATTGAAAGTGGGACCTTCTGTGTGCAAAGCAGAGGCTCTTCCACTGAGCACAGCTCCTGCCCATAATGCCTTGCTGCTCTGTGAATGAACCTGAGCGTCAGGCTTTCATGCTCCCTCCTTGCCCTTCTCTGCTGTTGCATAATATGTCTGATAACCAGTATTTTGGGTTCTGTTGCAAGCCATCTTGTACTACTAGAGTTCAAACCGGGAAAACTCTAGGTCAGGGTCCAAACAACTTCTCCACAGGAGGAAGAGGAGAGTTGGATTTATACCTTGCCCTTCACTTGGAGTGGCTTACAATCGCCTTCCCTTCCTCTCCCCACAACAGATGCCCTGTGAGGTAGGTGGGGCTGAGTGAGCTCTCAGAGAACTGCGCAAGAGAACAGCTCTGAAAGAACTTGTAACTGACCAAAGGTCACCCAGCAGCTGCATGTGGAAGAGTGGGGAATCAAACCTGGTTCTCCCAGATTAGAGTCTGTGCTCTTAGCCATTACACCAAACTGGCTCTCAAGAGAGAGAGAAAAGAGAAGCAGGCTACACTGGGGCTCATGGGACCTACACTCCTGTGGGGGTGTGGCTGTAGTAAGGAGAGAGGGTAGGGGAGATGGCTTGGGAAAGCTGGCTGGATCTAATGCACAGTTTGTGCTTCCTTGTGATTCCAGACTGCCGAGCAACCTCTTGAGACCCCTTCCCTCAGGATCTCCCAGACTCATTCATACGGTGGCAAAACAATGAGTTGCCATCAGCTCTGTACCAAGCCAATGGAATTCAGCCAGCCAAGCAGCTCCAGCATCCTAATGGCACTTGAGTCTTTGAGAGCTGGGAAGGGGTGATTTCTACAATTTCTCCCCTCCCCCTGCAGACAATTTCCCCACTTTGTCTCCTGTGTTCTTCCAGAGGATCCACTAGTCCGCAAAAATGAAATTTCAGGGGACTCAGGAGGCTGCAGCATGAGGAGGAAACTGGGAAGTTTCACGCCACACAGTCCAGCTCTTTTCAGGAACACGTATCTTCTGTTCCAAAAGTCAAACTATTACCTTTTCTTCCTTTTAGATACTGGAAACAGTTTTGCTCATCTTACCTATGTGCCAGTCCCTTTTATCCTCGTAGCTGTATATGTATACACCATCTAAACTGTGCTCGTTTTTCCAGAGTATCCAAATATACATCCACCCTGAGTCATGCAGAAGTGGACAAGGCCGTTGAGATGGGGCTGAAAGCATGGAGTAATGCAGCCCCACTGAACTTCGTCAAGGCAAACGCGGGAGAAGCAGACATCATGATTTCCTTTCAAAGTGGAGGTAATGGTTCGCATCAAAGGCTATGGTGACCCACTGTGAAACTCTTCATCTCTGTTGTTCTGCAAAGCAATGAAATTTATACTCACTGGGGATATATAGCCACTAAGTTTCAACATGCAGAAGACCCCAAATGGTAGAGCAACTGGTCAGAAAACAATAGAGCAATAGGAAAGGCAAAGATAAGGAGTGTATGAGCAAATAATACTTCAAATAGTCGTGGGTCAAGGCTGGGAGTTTCGCTTCAATTAGGTTCTCTGACGGAGATGTGCGGTGCGCAGGGAATGCTAGTAATGGGAAGGACTGAGTGACTATGGGGAAGACTGTAGAGGTAGAGATATAGGAGGGAGGAGGGAGAAAATGTGATTTGCAACCTTTTACTGCCGTCTTCCTAGCCAAAGGATGTATTACTTAACCCAAAGAGTGATTAATACATGGAATTCACTGCCACAGGAGGTGGCGGCGGCTACAAGCATGCCAACTGCCTTGCGGGGAGGGGGGTGAGTTTGAGGTGTGGAATGCAGTGAAGTCCAATCAGCTTCCATATGCAAAAGACCTTGAAGGTTCCATATGCAACTGACATTCCAACTGCCTTGCGGGGAGGGGGGTGAGTTTGAGGTGTGGAATGGAGTGAAGTCCAATCAGCTTCCATATGCAAAAGACCTTGAAACGCTGGGCGGGACTGCACAAAGCAGCCAGTCAACCCAGCCAGCGTCTTCTGACCCGGGCTTTGCCTTCTGATTGGTGGCGATATATGCTGAGGAGCAGTTCCATCAGCCATACACTAAGGGAGTGCATTTTAGAATTAGAACTTTGGCACCCACTACTCAAATATAATAAGGGAGAGATATGGAGCAGAGGTCCATCAGTGGTTATTAGCCACAAGGAACTCTCAGTCTAGGGCAAGTGTTGCTTTGTATTCTTGGTGTTTGGGGGGCAACAGTGGGAGGTCTTCTAGTGTCCTGGTCCCACTGCTGGACCTCCTGATGGCACCTGGGATTTTTGGCCACTGTGTGACAGAGCATTGGAGTGGATGGGCCATTGGCCTGATCCAACATTGGCTTCTCTTATGCTCTTAAAGCGGACAAGGACTGACTTGAAAGCCAAACAACAAACTAAAGGCAGTAACTGTTCAGGTTTCTGAACTATCATCCTAATTGAGTTGATTATTTCAGTTTTGCACCTAGAATTCTGCAATTGTTGGTATTTTTGGAGCAGTTCTGCAATGACTTCCAGTTTCTGTGGAAATGAGAGGATGTGAAGATGTCACATGACTCAAACAGTGTCAACCCAATGACTAGTTCTACCCATGACAATTCTGAACTTACGTTCTGTCCTCGTGCTCTTCATTAGATCATGGGGACTCTTACCCATTTGATGGGCCACGGGGGACTCTAGCACATGCTTTCGCACCTGGAGAAGGACTGGGCGGAGACACCCATTTTGATAACGCTGAGAAGTGGACGATGGGGATGAATGGTAGGAGTATAGTTTCCAAATGCAACCCAATGTGTCTAGAATGGACCACTTGAAACAAAATATATTTTAATAAATTATTTTTTAAAAATATTGTTTTTGTTGCACAGGATTTAACTTATTCACTGTTGCTGCTCATGAATTTGGCCATGCGCTGGGCCTTGCCCATTCCACTGACCCGTCAGCTTTAATGTATCCCACATACAAATACCAACATCCCTTTGGCTTCCGTCTCCCCAAAGATGATGTGAAAGGAATCCAGGCACTATACGGTAATAACCAGATTGCAGAAATAAAGTCTTGTTTATCCACATTTTTATATCCTTATCTTCCCTAATTCTTTCAGTTTCTTCCATTTAATCCCCTACTGTTCCCTGAGATTCTCTGTCTAAATATTTTGGGTTATGAATATGCTTAGGACATTTATGTATACATCTTCAGATACAGGATCTGCCCTTTCCTTCCTCATTAAGAAACTGTGAGCAGTAAAGTCCAGTAATGATTATTAATATTAATGCTATTTACTTTTCATGACCTCCTCAATGCAAATGTTGAAATATCCCAATTCACTGTCCCAAAACCCCCTTTGGGATAATCACACTTTAAAATATTTAACAAATACGTAAAGTTGTGATTTAAAAATCTGTGGTTTGTTTCACTGACCTTGTGCTCACATTTCAACTCTATTTCCAGGTTTTTCCCCTCAATTGTCATGAGGGCTAGTAACTCTACTCTTTATTTAAACCAGTTATTTCCTAGTTATTTCCTCGTTTCAAAGAGTAGCCGTGTTGGTCTGCAGTAGAACAGTTAGATTAATTCATCAGAAGGATAAAATCCAAAGACTGGCACCGGTAAATCTGATTCAGAGGCATATATTTGGACTGGACAATATCTATGTAATTATTATCTTTTAAAAAATCAGTACTAGAATTAAGTGTAGTTTGCCCTTCTTAATAGAAATGCTTGTGTTGTGTGTGATATTTCAGGATCACGACAATCCAGTTCCAGAGTCCATCAGCAACCAGTTCCCAAACCACCAGCTCCAGTTGATCCAGACCAC